CGCACTGTATTTATATTTTATTGTAATCCCTAGTACGGAATTACTATTTTGTAATATTTTTCCTAGTTATTAATTTTCTGTCATACCAATTCTGTACTTCTTGGTAAAAATCCTTACTCATCCACTAAGTTGGTGGACTTTACTTGCATTCTTCTATAATCCCTAGTAAGGGTATGCATTGTCAGTTATCTTATACTACTGTATTTCCTTGTATATTATCGTGTGTCGATAAATCACCCAGGCATATCATGGATCCCACTTCCTCTTCCCATGCTTTCTACTATCTCCTCACTTTCCTATCACTATCCCTTCATCACTCTTCCCCCTTCACCCTACTCCCCATTTCTATTTACTACCTTTCCTTCCTTTTACTGGCTAAACCTATGAGTACAGTCTAAATCTTTCCTATTCCTATTCAAGTAATTTTGAAACCAAGCACAAGTTATCCTCAATTAAAATGAAGAATAATAGCAAAGGTTAATGAATTTAACAAGGTCTATTTCAAAACACTTTTTGACAAACTCAGAGGAATAATTGATCAGAGTTCATATTTTTCTTTTCTGAACAAGGGGCTAAAGTAGCTAGATCGCACACTTTTTAATTGAACTAACTATTTTGGAAGGGTAAAATTGAAGTGCAAATGCTGTCAAATATATGTAGATGTAGAATTTTATCACTCGCTTTCTCCTCTTATTAAATATTTGTTAAAAATTAATTTTTTTATACAAATAAATATTAAAAATACTAACTACAAAAGCGGGTTTTTTCAAGCTCCAATGGTCCATAAAACAAAGACAAGTGTAAATAACAAAATGAATTTATTACCAACAGTTAGGTACAAGCATTGTTATTTTTCAACATATTCACTGTGAAGATTGAGGCATTTGTCATATCTGTAGATGAGCTTTTCCATCCTCTTGTCATAGAATGTTGCTGCCAGTGAATTGAGATGGCCTTAACAACATTGTTTTGAAGATTGTCATTAATTCATTAGTCTCAAACCACTGCCCTGCTAGCCATGTTTTCAGTTCAGGAAAGAGGTGGAAGTCTTCAACACCTTTAAACACCCAGCGTATAGCCCCGATTTAGCGCCGAGCGACTTCCACCTCTTTCCTGAACAGGAAAAGTGGCAAGGAGGGCAGAGGTTCAAGACTAATGACGATCTTCAAAACAATGTTAGGGTACATTTTGAGTCATTGGCAGCAGCATTCTATGACAAGGGAATGGTAAAGCTCATCCAGATATGACAAATGCCTCAATCTTCACGGTGATTATGTCGAAAAGTAACCATGTCTGTACCTAACTTTTGGTAATAAATTCATTTTGTTATTTACACTTGTCTTTATTTTTTTATGGACCATTGGAGATTGAAAAAAGCCTACGTATAAAAGTATTTGGTTAAATGCCCAGAGCTCTTTTTAGAGTTCAGAGTACGATACCTCCTATGAGCGCCTCTGCCCCCCCATAAAGTGACTTGGTATTTAATTTTGCCAGAGTTGGAAGTCAGAGTCGGCCTACCAAAATTATCAGGAGTTGGAGTCAAGTGTTTTTTTACCAACTCCAAAGTCCTGGTCTTGAAAACAAGGAATGTAATTTTGGTCAACATATGATGAAGTTGCATGGGATGATGGATAAATATCGTTCATCATTAGTTTATTTTATTTTATATTTGCATAATAGTCTAAAAATCATAAATTCTCTGTTGTTTGTTGATAATGGAATTTCAGGCTCCCTTGGAGATTAGGAAAGAAGCAAATTAGATAAAAGGGAGATTGCATCCCCAAATTCCCAATGTATGGGCACCTCTGGCTACAAATTGTGGCCATTAACAGTCACTAAGTAATATTTCAATGTAATTTTAGTGAAAATGTTTTTCAAATAAAGCACATTTCTATGCCAACAAATTTTATTGTCAGTTATAAACAACAACCCTTATTAGCCCCTTATTAGCCATTAATAATAAATTTGTTAAAAAATGCTTACTACATACAGATATACATTTTTTTTAAATTTCTATACTGATTAAATAATTTCTATGCAATTTACTAAAAAATAATTTTTGTGAATTACATCATATTTAACCTATTTAAAAAATCATTGCTAAAATACAAAACTTTATTTTATCTCTAATTTTCAACATAAATTTTAGTTTATAAAATAAAGAATAATTTAATACACTTTTAGAAATAAATAAATTAATGAATTACTTTAATAAACCAATAACAGATAAATGTAGTTTCTGGTTGCTTGAGAATTACTATTAAAGACAGGTTTAACTAATATTATATGCCATACTATATGATACAATAAACTCTGTATTGACTTGATATTAATTTAATATTAAAATACAGTAATTAAAAGCAAATTAAGACAAACCTGGATTGAGTGAGAATAAAAATTTGAACAACAGATCCCAACTGACCAGTATGTTTATACATGATAAACTAGTGAGAGTAGGAGACAAACATGAGGTGTGTGAAGTGAAGGCTTACTCCCAGTGTGGCATTCCAAGTTTAAACTTACATATTTGCTATAAATTTATTTTTAATTTTTATTTAAAGTATTATTTCTTTGATTTTTTTACTGGTTTCTCAAGTTCTGGTTACATAGCATCTACTGTATATGTACTTTTATAAAATTCACGTAAATGACAATAATTATATTACATATACAGTAGATTCCCCTATAAAATGGGTTCATATAATACGGTGAAAAAATTGCGATCATATTTGTATAAACAGGCTAAAAGAGACTTGTATAATACGGTAAAACGTCATCGCCGACAGGATTGGTCAAATCTAGACCAATAGTGGATATTGCATAAACCGTTGAGTTTAAACAAGCAGCAGACCTAGTAAAACCCATTTATTATTTAACAGCCATAAAGACTATATTTATATTAATGATGTCTCCAAAGTTCAGCGAATTTTTCGCAGAAAAATAACTTATCAGGAAACACGTGCCCGCCGTTCGATGCACCCTCCACGACAAAAACAAGCTTAAGCAATGGCGTCGTCGAACAGTGCACACTTGGTAAGTAATCCTACAATTTTTTGTTTATAGCATAGTCTATGTGGATTATTCCCAAAAAATTATATGTGTTTTGGAAATGTTGAGCCAAATTAGTCTAGAATCGATTAATTTTATGGAAGAAAACCTTTCAAACAGCCGTAGTCCCTAAACTGCACACATGCCGAGCTGTGATTAGCTCATGTATTTAAGTGATCGTAAAACATGGAATTTATATAAAACGGAACATACCTACTGTATTATAGGGGGTCTACTGTATATTTATTTATTTAAATTTATCAATCAAGTTTAATTTAATGAAATATGGTCAATTGCAAGAATATCTGTGTTAAGACAGTTCAATGATTGTTAATGCTTTGATGTTGTAAACTAAACTGGATCATTATATGTGATAAATTAGCGTAGATTCAAAATTCTATTTTGTAAACCCCTTGTAACAACAATGTATTCTTTAATGCAATAAAATGTATCTAATAATAATAAATGTTTTAAAAAATATCAGTTATATTTTACTAGACTGAATATAAAGATTTAGAATCATATCTTTACTGTTAACTAATTATAGTAGTGTGTCGATTATCCAAAAGTCAATCATCCAAAACGTCAATCATCCGAAAGAATTCAAGTCGGCAAATTTAAATTTTCGCCAGTGCTGTGGTGCTGGAATCTTTGGCTATGTCTTGGGCTACTCAAATATTTTACGTTTTTGATACTAAATTAACTTCTGAAGTATAATTTTTTATTGTTTTTATATTTTTCAATGTATTTATTTTGTTCGTACAAAATAAAAAAATAATTTTTAATGATACAATAGTCTTCGTTAGGCTTAACATCGATGAAAATTCAACACGAAGCGACACGCAATGGAGAAAAATGTCAAGATGGGATAAATTAATATATTTTTTTGTACATAATCAGTTATCCGAAACATCGATCTTCTGAACAACCCCAGTCCCCAATTGATTCGGATAATTGACGCTCTACTGTAATTGAAACTCTTTAAAAATTACTATTATAATTAATGATGCATTTTTAGAAAAGGCCTAAGTGTTCATATAAAAATCTTTTATTCAATAAAATTAGTACAGTATCATATTTCTTAACATATTCTAAGATACCCTATAAACTGACACACTGTATATTCAGCACTTCTAATTGTGGTGCATTATCTTGCACACTTACCAAAAATTCCACATCTCAAAATTAATACAGTATTTTTTCACATTTTACTAGAAAACAGATCTACAATAAGTAGCATAAAACCATAATATTAAACTAGAAATGAAGTAAACATATTACAGGTATCCCTTGCTAAACACAAGTTTTGATTAACACACAAAATTAATTCTGGAAATCCCTTTTTATATGCGACAAAAGTTTTAATTAACATGACTTTAAACAGCTGCTTTTACTTAACATAAACATGTTTTTCTCTGCAAATAAAGTGTTAGTAAATTTGCTATTTTTGTTTATTAATATAAAAATATTTGTTATTAACCAAAAATTTATTCTAGCAGGTGGTGATAGTCAAATCGAGTATCAAAGTCCCTCTGTATTTGATTAATGTGATTTTGATATTAATTAACTGCATTAATCAAGAAATATCTGTATATTTTTTCTCTGTATACTATAATCTATCATGAATCATTTTCACTCATTTATTTAAATATTCATTCATTACAAAAACTAAATTGAATTTATTTATAATACAGAAAATATATTCTTTTAATATCATTTACCATTCACTTTTAACAGTCAAAATTATTTAATTATAATTCCAGACTTTTTTCTCTTACAACAGATGAGTAATTAATACCATCTACATTTATTTACATTTTAAAAAAGTTTTGCATTATAAGCTAAAGATTGTATAATTTACAATATAGTAATTTTGAAACTTAATTATCTAATACAAATGTAGAATAATTTTACTATAAAAATTTTAAACTAGAAATTAAGGTGTAACTTACCAAATATTTCACCTTTACTGGCATATTCAGTGACTAGATATATCATACGTTCAGTTTCCATTACCTGCAAAAGTTTATAAAGTACTGTAATTAATAAAATTATAATTTACACCCAAAAAAATAAACAAAACAACCAAACATTAGTTTAGATTTGTAAGTTTTTTAATTTCAAGTTTAGTTTTATCAATTCATTATTTTATCAAAAAAGTTTTATATAATTTTTTACACTTGATAAGCTTATTTATTATATTGATTAGTAAAAAAAATTTTTTTCATAAAACAATCAATCTGGAAGTTCAAAATTTCACTTACTTATTTTATTTCATTTAAAATATATTACAGTTGACCCTCCTATAACACAGTACATACGTTCTGGTTTTTATGAATCCATTTTCTACGAGTCCAGCCAATCACAGCCCAGCATATATGCAGTTTACGGACTACGGCTGTTTGAAAAGTTTCTTCCATAAAATTAATCGATTCTAGACTAATTCGACTCAACATTTCCAAAATACGTATAATTTTTTGGGAATAATCCATATAAACTATGCTATAAACAAAAAATTGTAGGATTACTTACTGAGTGTGCACCGTTCGACTATGCCATTGCTTAAGCTTGTTTTTGTTGTGAGCTTGTCATCGAATGGCGCTCATGTGCTTCCTGATAAATTATTTTTTTTTTGCAAAAAATTCACTGAACTTTGGAGACATCATTAATATAAATATAATTTTTATGGATGTTAAATAATAAATGGTTTTTAGTAGGTCAGCTGCTCGTTTAAACTCAATGGTTTGTGCAATATCCGCTATTGGTCTATTCGACCAATCCTGTCGCAACACGAGTCGGCGATGACATTTTACCGAATTATAGGAGATTTTTTTAGCATGTTTGTATGAATACTGTTGCAATTTTTTCGCCATGATATAGGAATCCAAACTATAGGAACCCGTGTTATAGGGGAGTCGACTGTATTTTAATATTTTAAAGTATTAATTTAGTAGTTTATTATTAAATATTGTATCAATTCTAAAAGTATTTATAACTATTAGCATATAACAATTTTTTTCTCATTTTCCTCATTTTCTCCTCACATAAGTGAGGATATACAGAAGAAAATGAAACTGGATAATGTATGTGAAATATATTAATAAAAAAAAAAATAGTTTGGTCATATTAAAAAGATAGAGCAAGGATACTACAAATAATCATGGAAAAAGACAAAGAAAAGCCAAGGAGGAGTTGGAGGAAGAGAATGATCTAGAGAGAAAAAATAAAATAAAAGGTAGTAGAGTGCAAAAAGATAAAAGATGGAAAAATAGATCTGAAACGGAGAGGCTTTACTTAGTTAACCACCAGTAGAATGCTAGTAACTAAAAAAATTAAAAGAAGGTAGGTTAAATTAGCACATAATAATAAAATTAAATAATCAATTTATCGTAAACTAAATGATATACAGCTTCATATTTATTACTTGTAAGAGATTCTAGTTTTGTAAACTTAAATTTGTATAATATTACATTCATATTAAAGCATCTTCAACTATAGTCTCTAATATATTATAGCAATTCTAAAACAGGCACTGCCAACACTGTTATTAACTAAAAATTATTCTCATAAAAAAAAATAATTTCTAGTTAAAACTTGTATTTCTGGTATGATTTTAAGCTTTGTTATTTATGAATGTAATAAGATTTAGAATTCTCAAAAATATTTAAAAATTAAATAAAAATTTTTAAGTATGCCATTATAAATAGTATACAAACTGGAATAGTTAAATTTAATATATATGTATTTAGTATTTCTTTACTTTTACATCAGTAAAATAACTTAGTTTTATTAATAACTGGTAAGCTGATCCACTTAAATTTGTATAAATATTTTTGTACAAATTTAAGTGGATCAGCTTAATCTTAAAAACCTTAAAATCAGCTGAAATCTTAAAAAGTCAGAATATATATAATATAATATAAAGTGCAACATTTTTATAAATAGAATTCCTTATTTCTAAAATTTAAATGATCTTTTATAAATTAAATTCACTATAATTCTATTCTATAGTTTTAAAAAATTCATTAAGTCTTGAATAACAAACATTTTTCATAAGAAAACATTTGTTATTCAAGACTTAATTGTACCAAATAAGCTGGATCTTCCAAGATTTATGATTTTGGAAGATCCAGCTCATTTAGCATTAAGAAAACCCGAGGAAAAATCCAGAAGGGGTTATGAAAACATTTGTTATTCAAGACTTAAATCATACTTTGCACCAGTTATTGGTTGTAAAGAGTCTTATTTTATATTTATCCTGGTGTGGGATGCAGATATGTATTCTTAAGAGATCACAGGCAGTGTGTGTCAATTTAGGAATCCATATTTGAGAGGTCAAATATAATTTATATGTAAATTTAATAGGGAAATGTGTGCACCTGTTCAATTACATAAACATCAGAACACTGATTTTAGACATTTTTTCTTTTATTTATATTTAGGTAAATAAAATACAGTAAAAAAAAGTATAAAAAAAAATAAAGGCTTTATATTTGAATCACCTGTAGCCTACCATATGGGTATTGAAGTTTGAATGTATAATCTTAATATTATAATGTAAAAATGGCACCAGACTGCCTTAAATGCATTTTAAATCTACAATAATTTTTCACTTCAAATTGTTTCAAGGAGCACTTGATACAATTTGATATACTGTTCATTATTAAATGCATATGTGTAAAAACTTATAAATTTACTTATTTTGTATTATAATAAAATAACAATATATACCATATGTGTATTTTTATGAAGCATTAAAAGTATTGGATCATAAATATATAATCAATCAATAATAAATATATCAATAATCATAAATAACATATTAGAAGCAGACTTATATCAATTTCTATAACACACATTGCCAAATTATATATACTAGTGATGTAATTAAATCTAATTCAAAATAGTAACTCTCAATCACTACAACTGTTAATAAAATAGAAAGTATTAAAAAAATATCCAAAAACTGCTCAAAATTCAAAATTATATTAAAAGAAGTATTCCTTTTTGGAGTGAAACCTTTAAATATATACAAACCAAATGCTTGAAAGGCTTTTCGGCTTATCTTCAGAAACATAAATTATTCCAACAAATGAAAAACATTAAATGTTAAACATTCTAATGTTAAACTTGGAATGTTTAATGTTTGTTTTTGAAATAATTTAGGTGTTTGAAAATGAGCCAGCAACATTCAAAATTGTTAGTGCTGTAAGTATTTAAAGCTCTCACTCTAATGAAGCATAATTTTCTTATAATAATTCAAAATAATTATTTAAAATAATTATTTTGAAATCTGAAGACAAGAAATAAACAAACTTTAAAACATTAATCCATTAAAAAATTTACTTTGACTTCTTAATAAGTTATTTTTATTACAGTGATTTTGATTATACAAACGTATAAGCTATATTTGATATCAATAAATAAAATAAAGATAAGATTTATAAGGAAACAATAATCTTATAAAGATTTTAACAATTTTTGTATAAAAAAGAAAATTTTAAAATATACATTTAAAAAAAAAGCAAGAGAAAGGTAATATATTTTCCTTACAATTTTTTTCCACATGTAATAGAAGATTGCTTTTAGCCATAGAATTTAAAAATAAAATCATCAGGAAGAAAAAATAAAAATATCTAGTTTCAATAACTAGAAAGTTTTCTTATATGAAAATCATTTTTCTTACATAAAAGCTTCTCTAGTTGCAGAAATTCTAAAATTGCAGAAACTGTTATAAAAGTTTTTCTTATCCATATACAAATTCAGATAAATTTTATCATTAACTTTAAACGTGAATTAAGCATTCACTATGATTATATAATTCTATACAATTTTTTCATATAATACAAATTATTTTTTTTATAAATAAACACTTTAATTATATATTTATAACTTATATATGTATATATATAATTAGAAGTGTTCATCTATCACTAATTTGTTATAGAAAGTAACTCAAAATGCTCCCAAAAATTAATAAATCAATTTGAAAAGATTTCTATATTCACTTACAAACAGGTATAAATCATACAAATTTATGAGTAATTTGCTTATCAGTAAATATAGTCATACATGTTATACCTGATCTTGTTCAAAAATACCAACTAAGTTAAATAACAAAATTTGTTATTAATAAATGAGAACATTTTGAATGAGAACTTTTTCCTTTAGAATTTTAGATTTACTGTCTATTGGCTAAATACTTGCTATAATTGAGCTGATTATTAAATAACACTACTCTACAAATTAAAAAAAATTTTTCGGAACAGAAACAGCAATAAGTGAATTTTATTCTTTTTTTGTTCACTGAATCTGAAAATGAAGCAAATTTTTCTCCATCACCCACCACATTTTTGTTATATACCATTAAAAAATTGATGAAAAATGTGAATTTCCCACAGTGACCAAGTTTATTGGTACAGTAGAACCTCCATTATCCGGATTTTCGATTATCCGGATTGTTCAAAATAAACAAAAATTGTACGAATTTGCTGATTTGCACTTGGCGAATTACGATACTGTTTATGTACGTGATGGAATGCATAACTTTTTTTGTTTCAACAACGTCTCACCCAGCACAGTGGTCGTAAACTCTTAAATATATTTTACGTAGTAATAAAAATATAACTTGACATACGTATTTATAAATAATTTATATTCAAATTACATCATTTCTATGACCAAGGGCGGCGTAAGGCATGGACGACGTGGGCCACCGCCTATGCCTCGCGGTCCGAAGGGCCTCGCGCCTCGAAGGTTTATGCATTACTTAAAAGCCGCGAACGCGACGAAAAAATTTTACTCGTCATAAAACGATAAATAGTTTGTCAAATTTTTATTCATAAAAATGCAGTTTCAACTGCTTTTTATTTTATAAAATCCGTCTTCTTGCGCCACCAGAGGGCCTTTTAAACAATAGGTAGTCTGTTAGCGTTGGTCAGTAGTAGTCCAAATTCAATACGAACGTTTGTTTCTTGAAAATTTGATCACGATTTAAATACAGTATTTACTTTTAA